TTTAGCAGCGCAACAGTTGAAGTGAGCCTGCCGTGTTGTGCAATAAGCGCCAAACGCTGAGAGTAGCTAGACGCGGCTGCCGACTCAGCTTGCAGCCTTCTATTCATCGTTCAGCGGAGAAAGGAAACTAAGTGGGATAAGCCGTGCCGTTGGGCCCGGGCTGGGCCCGCTGGGGGAGGGACCGTGTAATGGGCCGGGGATTACCGCTCTCGTGGTCGCGAGCGGGGCGCGCCACCCGCGCGGCACCCGCGGCCCGCAAAGCAACCCGCAAAGCAACCCGCGCCACAAACCGTTCGGGGGAGAGCGAGGACGAGAAGAGAAGAGCGTCTCCGCTCCCAAGTTTGGCGCCGGCAGCGTCTTTTGTGACGGTACAACGCACCACCCGGCGGGGCTGTCTACACAGCGATAAGGGGCGCCGGAGCGCGCGCAGCCTGGCCATGGCCGTGGCAGGAACAGAACCAGCTTTTACACAATTTCATGCTGGCTCCTTTGCTGCCGCTGGCGGAGGTGCCGCGCTTCCTCGTGCAGAGAGATGCGATCGCGCTGACGACGCCGATTTGGAGGGGATCGTCCAGAAAGTACGGCGCCGTTTTACTCATTATTCATTCTGGAATCGGGAATGTAGGGAGGCTCGGCGCCTGCGAGACTCGGGGTAGGCCAACCCGCAGTACACGCGTGCACTGCAGGCGAGATGTTGCCTAGCTATCCGGCGCTATGAGAGCTTGCAGAGGCTGAACTTGGCTGGTTCGAACCAGCGATTGACGGACGTACTTTCTCGCTCGCTGATCTCTGAGACATGTGCTGTAAAATTGTGTTGGAGGAGTGATTGGCTGAGGCGGTTGCCGTGGGTTTGTGTCAGCTCTGCAATCTCAAGTGTGGGACAGTATGACAGTTTTAACTGTCAGCCCACTGTGTCTCACACTTCCTAAAACTATTTTCTCTCCTTTGAAGAAAAAACAATTTTTGGAATCACCCTCGTCTTCCTCGTGAAATTCCGGTTCAAACGAGTATATGTGTGATGGGGTTCTGATCGCAAACAACGACACCATGAGGACTTTTTTGGAAATAACCATCTTGTTAATAATTAGATGTATTGTTGGGATTGTTGCTCTAAACCCCATCACACATATACTCGTTTGAACCGGAATTTCACGAGGAAGACGAGGGTGATTCCAAAAATTGTTTTTTCTTAAAAGGAGAGAAAATAGTTTTAGGAAGTGTGAGACACAGTGGGCTGACAGTTCAAACTGTCATACTGTCCCACACTTGAGATTGCAGAGAGCCGGTGGCTGCAACATGCCCTGCTCTGCTGCTTAGAGCTACCTCATTATAATGTCAAGCGTACCGGGTGGTTCAGAGCATGCGCCGCCGTGTTGCGGGTTTGTCTATCCTCGACTCGGGGGTCCCCTCCTCACCTCTCACCCGTGCGCCCGCCGAGTCGAGGATATGCAAACCCGCAACACGGCGGCTCGTGCTCTGAATCACTCGGTACATCGATTTTTAGACAGTCCCATAAAGACTGTCTCTACCAGATGGCAAAGTCTCCCCCTCCTCACCCTCTATATTCTATTTTCTTGATTTTTCTTTATTATTCTTTAGATTGATTCTTCCATTGATTTTTTTTTTGTATTTTATGATTATTTTTTGTTAGTGAAGTTTGGCACTTACCGACAACCGCCATGGTGGTGCCGATGACCATGAGTGCGAGCCCGAAGGAGAAGGCCTTGCAGGCGTTCCAGAAGCAGCGCGTTGTCACCTTGCCGCGCACCACCTCCACGTTCCAGTTGCCCGAGTGGTGCTGCTGCTGGCGCGCCATGCGCACGGTCGGCGACAGCTCCTGCTCCCCGGGCGCCGCCGTCGGCCCCCCGGTCGCCGGCGTAGATGCCGCCGTCGAGGCGGAGGAGCCCCGCTGAGGCGGCGGCCGGCGCACGCTGCCCGAGGCCCTCGCCGCCGCCTGCGCGCCCTGGCTCATCCTGGGGGACACAAAGACCAACAACATCAAACCACGGTCTTCACATCATCTCTAACCATGGCGCCTTTCAGCTCGAGCAAGCAGTAGACCATCCGCCCGCCAGCGGGCGTACGATACAGTACCGATAGACACCAAAGTGGACGGGGCGAGTCAGCCACTGCCACTGTGTGCACTCAGATAACTCTCATGCGCGTGTGTCTCCTTTCTCCTTTTCTTTTTTATTCCTAGCTCAGCTGCTTCGCTTCGTCTCGGACTCGTTTCGCCTCCGCGAGCGTGTCCCGCTTTACTACTGACACAAAGGGACGCGGGTGCACGGGCGGCGGCGGTGGGGGATGGGGGCGACCTTCACTGCGAACCGAAGAGTTGCGAGTATCGCGCACCATACAAAGTGCGAGCGGCAAAGTCACGCAACTCCACATCCACCTCACGTATACGTATGCAGCAATACAAAACAACGACCGCTCGAACAATAACTCAGAAGGAGATAGGGAGGAGGGAGTGGGTGGGGGGTGTTTGAAGCCTAGTTGTTGTTGGGCGCAGAAAGTCGAGGCTACAGGGTTAATTAGCGTTGAATCACTTTAGCAGCGCAACAGTTGAAGTGAGCCTGCCGTGTTGTGCAATAAGCGCCAAACGC